CTCTTCCCTATTTTTTTTCTCTCCCTTGCCTTCTTCTTTTTTTGTTTGCCCTTTGATAGAAAATGCCATTTTGTGCCTTCAACAGGGCGGTGGAGCACCTGGTTTTGTGCCGGTTGTTTACTGATGCTACTTGGAGTGGATTTTAGGTGACAATATACTTGGGCTGCTCCTGTGGGGTTGACTTACAAGCCCCCTGATTCTTGTTGTTTCTTCTCCCCTTCAAGGGTAATCTTGCTATTTGGGTTCGCTATACCTCCTGTGTATGCGCTTGAGGTTTGCTTCTTTTATTTGTGTCTCTCTCCTACATTGCAAGCTTTTCTTGCACTTGCCGTCAAAGGCCCATGGTCTTTTCGTGTCAAATAGTTGTCTGTTAATTTTCAATATACACACTAAAACTAATATACACACTGAAACTAATATAAGAGTACTCTTAGAGGTCTATGCTGGCCTTTTTCAATCAAACAGTGATCAAGAAGATATCCAATTTTCTCTTGCCCTGTGAAAGGCAAATTTTGTAGCTGCATTTTTTTTCTTTAAGAAATGAACCATTGTCATACTTCTGGCAGTTATTCAACCAGCATTCCTCTCGTAACAACAATCTAATATATCCTAACTAGCTAGGGAGGTTATTGTCCCTTAAGGATTGTCTTGTTACCGCTACGTCTTCCCGTCTCACTTATAGTTCTCTTTGGCTACAGTATCTATATTGTGTGTTTACACACCTAAGCAAGCCAAAATGCAGGATAAGTATTCAAAGTGACAATTCTTACATATGAGGATTGGGCCAGCAAGAAGCGCAAACAATTTGTATATGGCCACCAAAGATAAAAAGCACCCTATAAAAAGTTGCTGCAAATCAATTATCAAAAAGTTGTTTATGCAATTAAAAAAATGGGAGTATATAAAAAAAAAAAAAATAATACACCCCAGTGTAGCATTATATCCTACCTTAGGGTGTTTTTATTAAATTTATGATAGCTGCTGCAATTTGTTTTAGTTGTGTTTTCAGAAATGTGCACTCTTTGACTCATCCACCTTACCAACTGCTCAGTGTCCGTCACCCCTCTCTGCCATTCCCTCCACTGGCTTCCCATTGCCCAACAAATACAATTAAAAATATTATCAACAAAAATATTATCCATTTACAACTCTACCTCGAGCTACATCACCAATCTTGTCCTCAAATACCCAAACCATTCTCTCTCTGCTTCCCAAGGCCTCCTGCTCTCTAGCTCCCTTGTCTCCTCCTCCCATGCTCTTTTACGGAGCCTCTGCCATCCTATGGAACTCCCTACTCAAATCTGTCTGGCTATGCCTTACTCTGTCCACTTGTAGGCAATCCCTGAAAACTCATCCCTTCAGAGAAGACTATTCAGCCTTCAGCTAACAAATGAATCTTTTATTTTTCCCATCAGTTCATCACTCCCAATTGTTACCTTTTGCTGCACTAGCTCCTCCCTATTAAATTGTAAGCTCCCAGGAGTAGAGCCCTCCTAACCCTCTTTTATTGAATTGTATTGTTGCTGTATTGTCTCCCTTTATAATGTAAAGTGCTGTGCAAACTATTGGCGCTATATAAATCCTGTATAATAATAATGATGATGATAATTGTCAATTGTAGCTGCTTCTGCAATCTAAGCACTAGAGTGTGATCTCTATAGCTGATCCAGTTTTGTTGAGATAGCCTAACTTACAGCCTCAGTAGCTTGGCAGACAGTGACTCGATCCAAATGACATCTTTCGTATAAATGTGGAATTTCAACTTTCCATATGTTCACGTGAGCAGACACAGATGTAAAGACTGGCTCTTTACCAGTGTTTTAGCTAGGCAACTAGCTGAAGGGTTTAGCCACATGGAGCAGCTAGGGGCACCTACACATATCCTTGCCATATCCCTCGTCTAATAGGTTACAGAAAATAGAGATAATGCAATAGTGTAAATGCACCATCTTTTTAATATCCAATGCCCTTAAATGTAAAACAACCCAAACTAGATATTTTACAGCCTTCTTACATCTCTTTGAGGCCTCGTTCACACCTTACGTGCAGAAAAACTGATGGAAACTGACGTGCAGATTTCACTTGAAGACACATCAATTTACATCAGTTTTCATGTGCGCTTCAATGAGTTTTACATACATTTCAGATTTCTGCACAGAAAAAATGTGCACATAATACTGGTGTTGTGTTGTGAACAGGGCACATAGAGAACAATTGTTTTCTTTGTGTCTTGACAGAACGCATGCAGAAAAACCGACGTCTCTGCACCATGGTGTGAACGAGCCCTGAACCACTACTGGCATCCATAACCGTATTCAGCTACTCCCTCTGCTACCTCACTCACTCACCCTGCTGTAATTTCCTCAATGTAACACAGGGGTGTCAAACTGGCGGCCCTCCAGCTGTTGCGAAACTACAAGTCCCATCATGCCTCTGCCTTTGGGAGTCATGCTTGTAACTGTCAATCTTGTAATGCCTCATGGGACTTGTAGTTTGGCAACAGCTGGAGGTCCGCCAGTTTGACACCCATGAATCGTAACATATACCAGCAACTTAACCAGGAGAATACAACTCCATGTAATGGATTCTTATTATCTTACATATTCATCTGACAGTTCAATAAAAAAACACATGCAAGAAAAAATAAATTTACATAGTATTTTAAAAGATTTACCACACAAAGAAAACATATTTCTTTTTATTAATATGTATTACAATATTTATGTTACAAAATCTAGAAAAATAAAAAGGTATCCAAATCTGTAACAGCCTATCAGATATTAGCATCATGATGTCAAATGATCATTAGTAAAACAGTATTTCTGCCTAACTGTTATGGTCCATTGGTTTTTCAACATTTTCTATCTGCCTGTTGGCATTGTGTAAAAGTATATGTTTATTATCTTTAATGGTTTAAATTTGCCTCCAAATAAATGTAAAAATTGTTATGCCTTTTAAAATGTAAGGATAGCGAAAATGTTTATTTTTAGTTTTGGATAGAGTAGGGAAGGGTTAGAACCCCTTTCAGTTTTTTTTTTTTTGCTTTTTGTCTGCCATTGGAATCTCTGCAAAGTGAGGATGGCGGTTGTCACCACAACAAGTGCTTTCATTGGAAGCTTTACCCTCACCCCTTGTCATGGTAACAACTGCAAAGTGTTGGATTTCCCATCACATCCTGCCTTAGTGACATAAGCCACTAGGACAAATAGAACGGGTGTGTCCACCCAGCTGGGCACATAGGCAACAATGAGACCTGACTATACATACAATTAAACATTTTCAAAACACAGGTATAAATCAAATAATATATAAAAATCCTCAGTACACTGTTAGCTCTTATAGTCTCATTTTAATGGTAATTTTGTTAATGGTGCATAATATCAGAATGACAGCCTGCTATTTAACCCACACATGTTATCTATGATTGTTAGCTATTATTAATATTAAAAATGGCCACACACTGGGAAATTATGACCCCCTCATAGATGTGATGTGAACATAGACCAGAATTGTGTTCACTACATGTATTCAGATTATTCCTGATCACTATCCTGACTGATACTGTCTGACACTGAACCATCTGACAGTATATTTGGTCATTGTACAATACTTGCGGACAATCAGAATTCAGCCCTGCAAGCTTATATTTGAAAAAAAAAAAACTAGCCATATATACCTAGATAGAAATCCTGCTACCTGGGGGTGGGTACACACGGATTAAAATTCGGCTGGCTCAGCAGGGACTGGATGAATTTCGATCTGTATGTGGCCCTCCCTGTTTGGAAGTTTTCCAACAGTCCTGTTCGAAAGAAGTCAATCTACCGATCAACTTCTTTCAATCGATCAGAGCCTGCAGACAATCAGCTGCAGTGCTGATCAGTGTATTTTAACAATGGAGGAGTCCCTGCTGTCAGAATACAATAGTACGGCTGGAAGGATTCCTCCAAATCCGTTTGTTTTGGGGTTTTTTTGTCATAAAAAAAAACGAACCAATTATACCAGCTTAAGTTGTAGCTTGATCAGTTCACACAAAGCAGATCCTGGTAGGTTGAATTCTTCATTGACTTGTATGTGCTGGAAATCTGTAGCAGGATCACAGCATGCACAAGCCTGGATCTATTCACCTACAGCTGCCAATTCAATGCAGAGCTGTTCTTTCTGTTGGATTCCAGACCATTTTTGGTTGTTTTAGGCTAGAACTTCTGTTCTGTAGATTTTGTTATGTGCATTTTGTTTTTTCTTACGCCCTGTCCTTGGTGAGAAAGAGTGAAAGGAGAGGATGCAGACCACAGTAAAAACCTAATAGCAACTTATTTCTAAAAGCATAGCAACAAGATTTGGCTGAAGTACCACTATAGCCTTTTGGTCCCATGCATACATGCATTAGCTCTCCTCTCCTATACACCTTTCCTATTGTCAGCTGTGTTTTTGCCGAAAAGGCTTTTCAGGCATGTAAACACATTTAGGCACTTCAAGCGGTTGGGCATTATTTAATTTTAAATCAATTAACGCTCAAGTGCTTAATGCACCTGTGTTAAAGCGCGTTTAGATGCAATTAGACACATCAAGTATTTTTTCTGCCAAGATGCAGCTAGGATGGACGCACTGGGAGTGGAATTTTTTTTCCACCTGAAAACTCCCCTGCCTCTAAACTCCCTCAAAAGCCTATATGTGCATGGCCATGCAGGCTAACATGAAGTGGTGTTTAGAGGTAGATTTGAATAAAAAAGCCCCCCCCCCCCTAAAAAAAACGTTAAAAACATTGTGTGTGCATGAGCCCTTAGCTCAGAGAATGAAGCAGGAGAAGTAAGACTGCTAATGTGGAACACAGGAATTATACTTTTTATGTTGGTGGGCAATATCCTCTCTGGAGTCACTGAAAGGTACAGAAGGCCAGTGATTGATTCTCCCAATCAATATCTATTCCAAATGTTAATATTAGTTTTGGATGGAATGACCTGTTACAGTATGCAGGCCAACACAGACAGATCAGGTGGCTGTTATAGCAAAGGTTTGCTGGAGGGACCCGATGCGGAGTGCATTTTTTTATCTTTATCTTCAAATTGAAAAGAGGTTTCACAAGCATCCTCATTAAATAGGTTTTGTATTTCATGTCTACAACAGCTTGGTATCTTTGCAAAGTTGACTGTATCCTTATTGCTTCCAAAACGCCATTGGACGTACTGATTTTGAGCAAACTCTGCTAGCTGTTTTTTGCCAATGGAATTCTTCTTTAGTAGAGGATTGTTGTACTGCAGAATGCACTCCAGAACCCGCCGCTGCAAGACCAGCTTCCTAAACATTTCTGAGTTTGTAATGCAATCCCCAGGTCGATATCGGCAACACAGCTGATCCTCATACGCAGTTTCTGGAAGACATTTCAAACACTGACACCAGGAAGGAATTGCTGAGGATTTTTTAGCATGTCTTGTGTGAAGAGGAAACTCTTCCAGTCCTTCGAAGAAAGACAGTTCAAGCTGTGCAAAGACTGTATTAAAAGTCATTTTTCCTTTCTGGAATAGAAAGCATTGACAAACATATGTTAGCCAATGGGCTTTATATGCGTTGTGGGCTAAAAGTAGGTACATTACTGATTTGGTAACAGCATTATATAGTAGGTACTGTATACATTACCAAGAGGATGATGGCATTATATAGTAGATTTCCATTAATGAATAACACAACAAGAGGTGCCAAGTTTGGAGTGAGGCTGGTTTTTCTTTATATCTTTTTGATGGAGAGTGGAGACAGGCTATAGTAACCAGCACCCAGATTGTCCATGTATGATGAAGAGCAAGTATTGTGCAGTGCTATGGATTTGGCAATGTTCTTAACATGATTAGATGATGGAAATACATTTTAGGTATACAATACTGATTGGATCATGGAATTACAGTATATAGTAGGTTTATAATACTGACTGGTTCATGACATTTTATAGTAGGTATATATTACCGATCAATTCATGGCATTTTATAGTAGATATACATTACTGGTTGGATCATGGCATTTTAGGGTAGGAATACAATTCTGATTGGGTCATGGCATTTTAAAGGTAGATATATAGTATTGATCGGATCATGGCATGTCATAGTAGGTATATATTACTAATCAGATCATGGCATTTTAAGGTAGATATACATTATTTATCGGATCATGGCATTTCATAGTAGGTATATATTACTAATCAGATCATGGCATTCTATTTTAATTTCATTTATTTACTTTTTATATATGACAAAAAAGTAGTATACAGTACTGATCAGGTCATGCATTAAATAGTGAAGCGCTCCCAAATTATCTAAAAACAATTCCCTCTGTGTGTGTAACTAAATTACCAACTGAACTTAAATAATCACTATTGTACGGTGATAAAAAACTAAAATTACATAAACCCCTCTCATATATATCAATTAATCTTGCCTTTAAAAAATCTGTGATAAAAAATCATGATAAATCCTCAAATATCAGTGATATATCACTTAACATAATAATACTAATATCATAATAAATTGTGACAAATCGTGATGAATGTGAAGAACCTATAAATCAAAAAACAGTGATTCTGTAACAAATAATATAATACATATATCCTGTGATAAACCTATAGCAAAATGAAATTAAATTGCTACTTGATACTGTGATAAACAAATGAACTCAGTGTCCAAAGTAAACTCAAAAAGTCCATGCAAAATTTGTGAAAAACACTCTGTGATCTCCACTTCTAGTGCTCAAAAGGAATCCTCCAAAGGCAGAAATGCCTGCTCACCTCCCCTCCTTGACCCACACAGGGCCACCAGGCAAAAACTCCCCTCAAAGGCAATCCTTTCCTCCAAATAGCTCAGCAGGGGACCTCTGGACTTCCACTCCTCCTCCTCTCACCTCGTCATATCGGACACAAACAAAAAGCTTCCCATAGTATAATACCGTTTATTTAGGAGTAATTTGGCATAACAAACTTATTCCCACTCACATGTAGTCTTTGAATACAGCGCTTTCCACCTCACATCATGGGTGTATTCTCATTCACATACAAGGAGGGAAACAAATATGGCCGCTACGTCCGGACAAACGTTCCCACGTGACCGGAAGTGACGTAATCTCAAACTGGGAATGGCGTTCCGACGCGTTGCGTCACGTGCGTCGTGACTTCATCAGGGTACCTTTTTCCTTGAATCTTTTCCTGACAATGTAACACTCTTTAGTCTTTTATAAATTTCAAATATCCTTCACCAGTATCGCCACAATTTTGGATACTGTTCCCAGCACTGTGACGCTCAGTAACACACAAATTCTGGTTAGCATCAATTTCCATAAATGCTTGCAAGATGACCTGCTTTAATTTGTCCACTATATAGGCGCTTCCTCTCAAAAACATTATCCTTTACTATGCCTCCAAAAGAATCAATAGGTCAATCATGTCAGGTGAACGCTGCAGTCAGTCAGTCAATGCGTTGCCCAATCCCACACTGGTGGAAGGTGTTCTCAGGGTAACTCTGTACCAACAAAGCAAAATTGAGAAGAGGCCCTAATCGCCGGCCACTTTATTAGGTACACCTGTTAAATTACTTTGTAACACAAATTGCTAAGCAGCCAATCACATGGCAGCAACTCAATGTATTTAGGCATCTAGATGTAGTGAAGGCAACTTGCTGAAGTTCAAATTGAGCATCAGAATGGGGAAGAGTGACTTTGAACGTGGCATGGATGTTGGTGCCAGATGGGCTGGTCTGAGTGTTTCAAAAACTGATGATCTACTGGGATTTTCACGCACAACCATCTCTAGGGTATACAGAGATATGGTCCGAAAAAGAGAAAAATATCTAGTGAGCGGCAGTTGTGTGGACAAAAATGCCTTGCTGATGTCAGAGGAGAATGAGCAGACTGGTTGGAGAGAATAGAAAGGCAACAAAAGCTCATGTCAATATTGACCAAAAATCTCTGAGGAATGTTTCCAACACCTTGCTGAATCTATGCCATGAAGAATTAAGGCAGTTCTGAAGGCAAAAAGGGGTCCAACCCAGTTCTAGCAAGGTGTACCTAATGAAGTGGCCAGTGCTGTAGTTTATAATGCACAATGGTGTATAATTTAGAAGTAATATATACCTACGTTTGGCCACTCTGTGTATAAAATCAGTATGTTTCTTTTGATAATTTGGTTTTAGAAGCTAGCAGAGCTCTAGTTACAATTATTAGTTGGAAGCTGAGCAGCAGCCTGGTGCAACAGTCAGTGGGGTCAAAGTTTGGTCAGGGCTGAGAGGCTCTGCAGACCAGGTCTCTGGGACTTCCCCCTGCTCTGGAACTTTGGAGAAAGTTCTAGAAGCAGTGGGTGGAGGTGAGGAGTGGCTGGTCTGCACTTTTGAGGGATCCTGGCCAATCCCCAACAGGAGGCTTGGCATGGGGCCAGGACAGCCCTTAAAGATGACCAAGCCTGCTCAGCAGAAGGGAAAGTTTGGGTTGAAGATGGAGAAGTGAGGCTGGAGGGCAGGAGCCAGGGAGGGAGCCCAGATGGGAAGGGGCTCACCTACAGGCAGTGGACCTTGGAAGGAAGAAAAGTTAAGTACTTCACCGGCCCCCAGAGCAAGGACCACCTGTGCAGCAGGGAAGCAGCAGCCCAGCTAGAAGGCCTGGTAGCAGCCACTGAGCAATCAGCAGCACAGGAGAAGGACTGAGTGAGTACACCTGCACCTCCTCAGCCAGCAAGGGGAAGAGGCACTCTGGTGGGAAACTGGATTTGCTTTTAACCCGGGACTGTTTAACACTGCAGTGGCAGGCACTGGATCCCCTGCCCAGGGATTCACCCAGTACAGCTGGATGAGGAGAGGATTCATTTAGGGTCTGGGGTGGTACAACGGGAGATGCTGGCTTTCTCTCCAAAAGAGACTTTTTGCTGTAAAGACTTGAACATAGTTGCTAAGAAGTTTGTCCTCTGTTGCCATTACCCTTGGGCATCCCATACCCCCCTTACCCCATCCAAGCTAAATTCCCCTAAAAAAATATCCAAAAAAAACAAGCTCAAGGACTGGATACGGTCTCCTGGATGCAAGTCTGAATGAAGGAAATGCGTCTTGCCTGGCTGTGCAGGACTATAGGGGGACCCAAATCTTTAGCGACTCCTATGGGGGTAGTGCTACAAAAGCAAGTGGTTTTGGGAACTGAATGCAAGTTAAAAAATAAAAGTTACTACCGCTCCATGGCTTTAATTGCTACTACAAGTTCACCACGCAGCGGTGCAGGGATTTGAACTCACGACTTCATGGTGGTGGTGGTGCAGGTAGTAAGGCACCGGTCTTAACAAGCATGAAGTCGTGAGTTCAAATCCCTGCACCGCTGCGTGGTGAACTTGTAGTAGCAATTAAAGCCATGGAGCGGTAGTAGCAATTAAAGCCATGGAGTGGCAGCATCAATAAATTCCTCCTTAAAAAATTTGCTTCCAAAAAAAAGACCTCTAGTGTGTTCTTAAAGTGATACTATTGGGTTTTTTTTTTTTAAATAACATGTTATACTTACCTGTCCTGCTTGCACAGAACAGCCTCGATCCTCTTTTTTTTGGGGTCCCCCACTGGTGGTCCTGGCTCCTCCTCCCTGCTGAGTGACCCCATTAGCAAGCCTCACAAGTGGCATGTGAGCTGCAAAATATTTCCTTTTCTCTCTCACATCTATTTGTTTGAAGGAGGAGTGTTAGTTGTAGTCATGTACACTGCTCAAAGCAAACTACACATCCCACAGTCCATCATGAGAGAGAGCAAGAGAGGGTGTCTACATTCCTACACACAATGGGAACATGTAGAATGAGCGTAGCCACCCTCCAACAGGACGTGTGCCTGTGAAATGGCAACCAATCTAAGTAACCTAACTTTTCCAAGGCAATTTTTTTTGAGAGAGGTATGGGTGCTTGAGTATAACAAAATGTCCTCTATGTGATACCTTTTTGTGACAGGTTCTATTTAATGAGACATCAGGTGTCTCCCTCCCTTCTACCCTGTGGCATCCACCATGCAGGTCTTGGGTCCGCCAATGGGAGTGAGAAGCCAACAAACCTAAGTAACCTAACTTTTCCAAGGCAATTTTTTTGAGAGAGGTATGGGTGCTTGAGTATAACAAAATGTCCTCTATGTGATACTTTTTTGTGACAGGTTCTATTTAATGAGACATCAGGTGTCTCCCTCTCCTCTACCCTGCGGCATCCACCATGCTGGCCTTGGGTCCGCCAATGGGAGTGAGAAGCCAACAGTCAGCTTATCAGATTTACACTTATTCCCCACTACACATTCACACATTCCCCCTCAACAGCTGACTTGTTAGATTTACACACAAAAAACCTCCCACTGCTTCCGACATATGACAAAAGATTAAAACTGAACTCCAGGCAAATAGCAAAATACATGGATGAAATTTGAGAGATGCTTTACTTGCCAAATGAATTTTCACACAGCTCTGTCAGATAGCACAGCCATAAGACTTGAATTTTCTCTGCTGTAATTAATACATACAGTATAGGTCATCTCCTTGCCCCAGCCTGTGATTGACCGTGAAGGAGAAGCAGCAGACTAATGAGCTCATCTCTGTTACTTTGCTCTCTGTCGGTAGCATAGAAGCACTGCAGCACAACTGAATTGGTATTTTTTCTGCCTAGAATTCAGTTAAAGAGAGACTCCAGAAAAAAATATTACATATAGAATTATTACATAAGACATTTTAAACACTGCTGCTGTTGGTGTGCAAAACTCCTTCAGATATCTATGTTGATGGTTGTTTATTTGATCTAATGTTTTTCCATAAGTCTGCACTGACACACAATTATATTTTCTTTCGAGGGAATTCCCCCTACTTAATTTTCAGGTGATGAGTGCCAGCTAGAAAAGTAAGCAAGAAGAAATCTTCCCAAAAGAGGCCCAAAGAAAACTAATAACCATATACATGAGTTTCTAAGCATTCAACAAACTATTAAACAAAACAATTTTGCTGGAATTACCACCAACCCTTGACCTAACATTAACATGAACTCTAAATGACCAAAGTTTCTTGTTGGGGACTATCGATCCCAAAGATGTACCATTCCTGTGCCAAAATCTCATATCGCTATGATAGAACTAAATGCAGCCTGCAAACAGTGTATGTAGACTTCGGTGATAAATACATTCTAACAATATTGGGAAAGAAGGCTGGCAGGCAAATTCCATCAGGTGAAGGTGACGTGACATGTATAGCCACAACTTTGGACACATTTTGCATGTTTAGGGCACATTCAGACGTAGACAAAAAACGGAAACACTACATGGTTTGCAGGTGTGAAAGTGACAACATGTTTTGTGTTAAAAGCGTACATGATGTAACATTCTTCTGCTTCTGCTGTGTGATGAGACACCTAGCAAACAGGTGGGAAGCCTAACTTTCGTCATTCACTACGTGCACGGTTAGTAAAATGCAGTTGTGTTAGAGCTTACTGAGCTATAAAGAGGGCAAATTGTTGATGCCGCTTAGCCTCTATGACTTAGTGCCTCTATGACTGAAGTTGCCAATTTATTTGCCGTGTCGCGAGGTACAGTATCAAAGGATATGACGGCATATACAGTTTCTGGGAAAACATCATCTGATAAATGCTGTTTACATGATCAACTGACTGAAAGAGACAAAAGGGTATTGCGCAGGATTGTGACCCAGAAAAAGAAAACTGCTGCAAAAGTGACTGTAGAGCTCAATCTCAGTTCCGTGAAGACTGAGATTGAACTCTGCAATCACATTTGCCGTAGTTGTTTTCTTACTCCTGGTCACAATCCTGTGCAATGTCCTTTTATCTCTTTGGTCAGTTGACGGTGTTTATGCTTAACAGTGTTGACCGGGTTTATGCTTATCAGATGATGTTTTCATGGAAACTGTATATGCCGTGGGTGTGTGAGGAGCATCAGAGTGATTAGGCCTGAAATCTGTACCATATGCTTGGAGTAGAAGTCATCTGCCGCTACCTGCTAATGCATGCTCCCATATTCTGGATGGTTTACCAGTGCAGGTCCGTCTTTGCACCCTTAGGATGTGTCCAGCGTATTCCTGGTTTTTGTTATATGTATAATGTTCTGCATTAATTGTATGCATTCTAAGACTTACATCGCAAGTACAATATCATTGTTTGGTATACTGCTTCTTTCGCTCTCTTTTTCTTTTTATATATTTGGTAATACTGTTCTTTGACCACATATCACTTAAAAAGCATAATGCCTTACTACACATTTTGCAATCTTTTAGGGGAGGTTATGGTACCTTCCTATTTTTCCTTTGTCTGTTGAATTCATTTCAATTTTAATGTTTGTATTTTCTAACTTACACCACTATTTTGAATAACAAATATTAAAGAAATTCATTTCCAAGTAATGTACTCCAAGTAATGTACATAGTTTGTTTTTGTCATGAAAACCAAATGTGAAATCCTTTTACATGTACAGCATGAGCTGAACACCTGCACATCATGTAACAATATGAATGTCTGCATCACCAATTATTTTATTAAATCATTTAGGGTTTAATGTTGGCAATATAAAGGATATCACCACTAATTTGCACACACTAGAACTGCCCAAGCTGTTTAAAACAGTTCAGGTGCCAGAGGTACTGTATGCAAAGAAAATAAACAGAGGGCGCACCGGCCTAGTGCATTACCTAAATAAATGTATTGATAAAAAGTAACAAATGGTGATATACCCACAAATGAGAAAGGTAAAAAAGCTCATCATGAAACACAGCAATGTCTGGTCTGCCTGTTACGGTGATCCCCAGAGGAACACTGGACCTCCAATAGGCTAACACATTTCGGGGACTTGCCTCTTCCTCTGAGCCTGCATGCACAGAGCCTATGCCTCCTTTATAAATGGTCAGAGATTGAGTCTAATACCGGCCATACATGGGTCAAAATTCGACCGATTTTTCATCCGAAAATCGGACCTAAGAATAATCGGGCGATTTTCGCTGTTAGTGGGTCAATGGCACTGGCCGATTATCATGGTCCCTCCCCTTTTCGGTGATCGGGCATGTTGGAAAATTTGTGAAAAACGACTGATTTTTGACTCAATGATGGTCATATAGTATGATTGTTTTTCCAAAAAGAATATGCGCATGAGCAGTGACCTGGAAGGAACAGAAGTTTTGCCTATTATATGGGGTGAACTTTATGACTTGGTCGGCCAATTTTCAAAATCATTGATGCCACCATCGGATTACCGAGCGAACGTTTTCGATTTTCGGACGAAAAATCGTTCTGAATTCGACCCTTGTATGGCCTGCATAAATGCTGCAGATTTATATGTCATATCTTGTATCACCTAATGTGAAGTAGTAGTCTTGGTGCGAGGAGAATGGCACCCTTTTTGCTCTCAGTGCTGTGTGTATGGAGTGAGTCCAATCAATGTGTGCACAGCCAGCCTGTGAGGTAAGAGACTTCCTGATGTGCAGGGTGCAGTGCATGCCGGGCAGAGGAGGACGTACTGTATTACAAGTTGGATCTTTCACTTACCTTGATCCTTTTACCTATTGTCATTTGTAAGCTTTTCGTTAACTTTGTATCCACCATTATTATGTCCTCTTCATCCACAAAGGACACAAACTTGAGTTCCTGGCATGACTATAAAAACAAGACAATGAGAAAAATTATAAAAAAATTACAAGATTTTAATTACATAATGTATTATGAATCATAACATAAGTATAGCCTAGAGGAGGGCTAAAAAGGACAGAAATATACAAAACTATGTAAAACCTAGCAAGAGCACAACTAATTATCCAATAGATCTATAATATAATCTCAAGACACGTGACAACCCGTAAACTTATATGTTTAGGAGATACCGTATGTCCCTAGAGCATTCCCAGGTGTAAGTAAAATATGGCAAAGAGCAAAATTCTGTATATGATCCAATCTACAGAAAAAGAGTGGGTTATATTTAAACTTTTTTAATCTTATGTCCTGATCTACATTAGATAATTTCTTTAGGTCTGAGGGCAAAAATAACTTTTAAAAAGATTTTTGTTTCAAAGTTTTTATTTTATTGAACTGTATATTTTGTTCTTTTATAAGAAACAAGTCGGAAAACTTTTTTTCTTTTTAAAAATGAAACTGTTTGTGCTGCGCATATGTGACAAAACAAACAAAAAACTGGTATATTTATGTCCATTGAATTCTTTATCTTCAAAATTCGGTCATTACATGATGGCAATATCATTTGCTCTCATGACCGAGTGTTCGTTATTCAAAAACAAATTTTTCAGCTAGTGTATGGTTAGCATTAGAGTTAGTGTAAAGATTGGTGTTGGGGTGTTAGGGTAATTGGGATGTATATAGTGATGAGAGTTAGTGTTAGAGTAAAGGTAAATGTTAGGGTTACAGGGAGGGTTAGTGCAGGGGTAGTGTTAGGGTCCTAATTACAAGTGGTCCATAATGCGAGGGTCTGTTTTAGGGATTTGGGAAGGGCTTTTTAGGTGTGTTAGGGTTACTGCGAGGGTTAATGTTAGGATTACTGGGAAAAAAATAGTTTAAGATCGTTAGTGTTTAGGTTATAGCAAGGATTAGTGTTAGATTTACAGGGATGATTAGTACAACTGCAAGTGTTAGGGTTACAGGAAGTAATAGTGCAAGGGACAGAGGGAGGGCTTGTGTCAGAATTATAGGGACTGGGCTTAGCGGGGTGTGGGAGACTTCATATATGGCTTTGTTCCTACCTTTGCACTGAAAACTACCAGCACTGCAAAATAAAAATCTTAGCTGAAATTGTTAGTTTTTACTTTATAAATCGCAGGATCAACAAAAGAAAGCAAAATGGCTGATTGGGTTTAACACCCTTTAACCACTTCAATACCGGGCACTTATACCCCCTTCCTGTCCAGGCCAATTTTCAGCTTTCAGCGTTGTCGCACTGTGAATGACAATTGTGCGGTCATGCAACACTGTACCCATATGGAATTTTTAGCATTTTTTTCACACAGATAAAGCTTTCTTTTGGTGGTAATTAATCACCACTGAGTTTTTTATTTTTTGATAAATAAAACTAAAAACACCTGAAATTTTCTTTATTTCTGTTATAAAATTTTGCAAATAAATAACATTTCTTCATATATTTAGGTCAAAATGTATTCTGCTACATTTCTTTGGTAAAAATAATAATAATTAAATTTGTATTTTTTTTCTTTTTTTTACCATTTTATTTTTCAGCACAAAGCAATGCAATGTTACCATAGTAACATTGAACTACTCTAGGCAAGTGATCAGGATTTTTTGTAACCCATTATGATTGCTAATACCAATGTATTTCATTGATATTTGCAATCATTGTTACTGAATGAAACTGATTCATTCAACCTTTTGTTGTGATTAGCAGTGATTGGGCAAAGCTGATCACGATATCGATGGGCTGTGATTGGCCCTGTCTGTATCATGTGACTGCCTTGACCAGTCACAGTGAACAACATAATTGTATACAATGGATGGCTTGACAGGAAGCCAGCCATTGTATACAATTGCCATGTGATCTGCTGTGATTGGTCACAGCCGTCACATGACACTGGCAATGGGCTGGTGTAGTGATATGTCATCGGCTGTGTCCACAGTTGACAGATCGTGCCGCTGCACGGCCTCGTGAGCGGCGCATTTTGACAGGACATCATATGACGCCCAGTCACAACGGCGAGTGTCCCACCTGGCCATCAATCTGCTATAGGCCGGGTGGGAAGGTGTTAAATTCCTGAAAAGCCAGCAAAAGCAGCCATGATTATAATAATGTAAATGTTTAGCTCTCTATTCCAGCCTAGTAGGCCATGGAAAAGGAAGAAGGTATGGAGTACAATTTAGGTACCACCCACAGACAAAATTGTGTAGCACTTCCTTAAAGGCAGTCATTTGTACAAGTCCGTCTACTATAAGAGTTCAGAATAACATGCTATATTTGTGACCAAGCTAAGAGTAATTTAACTTAATAGCATAATATGGGACAATAGTGAATGATTACAACTTTGTATTGTCCTTTATTGTGATTGCAATGGAGTGTAATATTCTAAAATGTAACACTAATGATTTTTTATTTTTTCTTATTAACACAGGAGGAACTAGATCTGTTCTTAGATGTTATTTTCCAACATCTGTAGAATTAGGTTCGGATAAGAGGCTGAGATAGAGAAATCAATATGGATATGGTGATGTATAATTCTAGTGCACAAATGGGATGAATACATTATAAATGTTATTTTGAATGTCTTTTCAACCATGGTGAATTAGTGGCAACTTTTAACCACTTGCCCTCGAGAGGATTTACCCCCCTTCCTGACCAGGCCATTTTTTGCATTACGGTGCTAAGTTACTTTGACGGACAATTGTGCAGTCATGCAATGCTGTACATAAATGAAATTATTTGATCATCTCTGTGGGGGTTTTTTTTTTTGCGCTATAAAGAAAAAAATACCAACAATATTGAAAAATAAACACAATATTTTTGACTTTTTGCTATGAAACATATCCAGTAAAAAAATTTAAAAAATAAAATTTCTTCAAAAATTTAGACCAAAATGTATTCTGCTACATGTCTTTGCTGAAAAAAAAAATTCAGTACGTGTAAATTAATTGGTTTACATTAAACTTATAGCATCTACAGATGGCGGTATATATACACTGAAATTTTTATTTTACTAGTAATGGCGGTGATCAGTGACTTATTGCAGGACTGCGCGGCATTCTAACACTGGGTGGGTGACTAACTGCCACTGACATCCCTAGCGACACTAATAAAGTGATCAGTGCTAATAAAAAGCACTGACACTGTACTAATGGCACTGGGCAGGAAGGGGTTAATATCTGGGTGATCAAAGGGTTAACTGTGTGCTGTGTTGTGTTTTACATAGTGTGTTGTGTATTTTACAATGTAGACATGCTGCTTTGTATTGCTCTGCTGTGCAGAGCAATACAAAGCAGCATGTCCGTGCTGACAGGGGAGAGATCTGTTTTGTTTACACACAGACCTCTCCCCTGTCAGCTCCACCAACGATCACCAAGTCCCGGCCCAGAATCGGCGGCCGGGACCCGGTGATTGACATGCTGAGGAGCCAATAGCGGCTCAGGTAGGGAACGCGCGCCCCCTACCTAGAAATGTAAATCACGTGTTTTGCGCATCCCTGCCATCCTGTATCAGTACTTCTGCTATAGGGTGGTCAGGAAGCGGTTAACGGATGCCCCCCTAAAAAGTGCTGCCCCAGGAAAACGCCTTGTTTGCCTTGCAGCAAATACGCCCCTGGAGGACACACTCGCCACCACCATAATTTCCACTTGCCATTGGCTAGCAGGCGAGTGGAAATTTCAAGGCCTGATATAAAGTTTGATTTTACCGAAGTGTTTAAGTGATCTCTCTTTGCACATCTTGAACCCCCACCCCCTCCTTCCCCAAAGCATAAACTATCACGTTACCCTGATAAAACAAAGGGGAGCACACTGAGTTCCCAGCACATCTAGAGAACTGACCATGGTGTGTTTTCCTGCTTGGTGTGGTCAGTTTTTAATAGGAAACTAGAGGGACTGACAAAAACACCAGGGATTTCACACAGAGGAAGCAATACAAAGAGAACAGGATACTTTTTCATATAAGTACATGATACAGCAGGCACATATCAGGAATGTGAAATGTAGAAGTACATGAATCTGAGAATGAATACAAAACCATGTTACCATCAGAATAGAGGGCCCAGTGATCTCTTCATACTTCTGCCCATCATAGTACTTCTGACCAGATGTAGTGCTGCAGCAGCTTTTGCAATACAAGCTGATCATAAAATCAATCACTATTGTTGCCTAAATAAAGGATCATCAACAAAATAACTGTTATCACTGCTCTTTATTTATGTAATACTAACATATACAACAGCACCATACAGTCTAGGCACATCACAGAACAAACATACAAGGATTACTATAGTTTAACCTAATATTTAATTTAATCATTTTAATTGAGTAGATGTCCACATTCAAATATAATTTTTCAATTAAAGTTGAACTGAAGCCAAAACATCTTGCTTTGAAAAGAATGGGGAATGGCTTAAACCTCTGTCAAGACATTATTTTTCTCCACGTTTTAGGTAGTTTTCCTTCACTCGTTACATCACAGAGGAATTGAGGGAGATCACTTTGCTGCTTTTTCAAAATATATATCGGTATATTTATTCAATTTGTATAAGAAATATATAGAACACAAGGTAGAGTCTTTCTTTAGCACTTTTATTAGTACAGTGGTCCAGGATTTGAACCCCTGACTGGTATTTGTTTGCATGTGTCCTGACAAGATTATTTTTACCTCCTTTGTGTCACTCTACAGGAAGAAGAGGGAAATGTGCTCACTATTGGCACTACAATTATAACGTGCAGTTCCTTTTGTTAGTCCATTACCTAGGGATGCACCAAAATTTCGTGGCTGAAACGTTTCGGCCGAAAACCCCCCGTACGGCTGTTGGCCGAAATGAAAAAAAAAAAAGCACCGATACAGGTGCTAAAAAAAACCCCGCCCCTTGCCGCCGCTCGCTGCCCGCCTACCGCTGCCGCCACCACCCGCCACTCGTTAGTTCTCAGCCTTGTCTGAGAAACCATCGATCCCAGCATTGGGCATAGAGATGAGTGAAGAAAAGATGGCCACCACTCATCTCTATGCCCTTGGAGGAACGGAGCGATGTCACTTCCCATTCCGGCCATTTTTTTTTTTTTTGACCCAATGCTTTACATTGTAGAGGAGAGATGTGGGGTCTTATTGACCCTATATCTCTCCATAAAGAGGACCTGTCACTGCTTATTTCTATCACAAGGGATGCATGCATTTCTTGTGATAAGAATAAAAGTGATTACATTTTTTTTTAAAAGGGACCGTGCAAAAAAAAAAAAAAAAATTAAATAAATGAATTAAAAAAAAAAGTTTAAAGTGTCCCCATCCCCCCGTGCTCGCACGCAGTGGCCATGCCCACATATGTAAACAGTGTTCAAACCACACACGTGAGGTATTGCCACGAACGTCAGAGCAAGAGAAATAATTCTCGCACGCAGTGGTCATGCCCACATATGTAAACAGTGTTCAAACCACACACATGAGGTATTGCCACGAACGTCAGAGCAAGAGAAATAATTCTCGCACTAAACCTCCTCTGTAACTTTACACTGCTAACCTGTAGCAATTTTTAAAGTATCACCCATGGAGATTTTTAAGTACCGCAGTTTCACGGCATGGCACGAGTGTGACATGTTTCGTATCTATTTACTCGCCGTAACATCCTCTTTCATATTTTACAAAAAAATTGGGGTATATATATTGTTTTTTTTAATCAGTGTATTTTTTTCCAAAAAATATATATATTCAATTTTTAAAAACTGGGCATTTTGGTTTTAGTTTTCAGCCAAGTGCATTTTGAATTTTAGTTTTTGGCATCAGAATTTTCATTTCGGTACACCACTACTATTACCATACTACTACAAACAGATGTTTAAACTGAAATACCACTCACCAATCCAAAGTAAGAAAGATAGGAACCAATGAATAACACCAATTCAAACCAACTGAACTGCCCCCCCCTAGAAAGGGATGATATGAACAGAAATAAATAAGAGAAAAATACACTGGATGACATTTTAGTGCAACACAATATATGTTATTGCTTTTGATGAAATGGTTTTAGATTTTATAAGTAAAGCAAAAAACTTTTCTTACAAATAACTGCAAAACACTTAAATAGTGTAATAAGATTTCTAAGGCATATTTATTGCTGGTACTAATTTTGTTGTGCTATTCATGTGTAGGATTATTAAGCTAAACTTCAGGCAGATATTAAAATGCTTATTAATGCAGTTATATGTGCTTTAAAAATGAATAAATCAATTTTATGGAAAACTAGTATAATTTGATTACTCTGATTCTTTTATTAGCTTCCTGTAACCCCTGTACAGCAGCTTACAGACCAAGAAAGGAAGGGGCAACACTAAAAGCAAATTGTTTAAGGTGAATTGCCAATTAACTGTCTAGGAACCTTCAGACAAGAGGAAAAATCCTAATGGAAATATTTGACTTTGACTATAGTTACTTATAGCCAACAAATATAGGTTATGCAAATGTGCTCTGGCTGGCAGCCATCTAAGGACATTTTGCACCTTTACTACTGTAATGTTATCAATTTAAACCTCCCTGGCGGTCTGATTATGCCCATATTTCTGTGCTCAAAGCAGTACATTTTTTTGCATTGAAATATGTATTTTTTTATTGTAGCCTGTAATTTTTAGGAATAACTCACTGAAATCTGTCTGAACAAGAGTCTAGTAAACATCTCGGGTATGTTAAAATTTGAAACACGAAATCATAAATTATAATTTAATAAAAAATCATAAAAAATAATATAATAATAATAAATTTAATTCAATAATATAATCAAACCAAAAACACTGAAATTTGAAATATAGCGCCAAGTTCGCACATGACTGAGCAAAGTCGCAAAATTGTTTTCAGTGTCTGACGACGAATTTCCCCACAAATCCTTATCACTCAATTCTGCAAGTGGTTCTAATTTACTATCGCTGTTCTCTAGCTGGTCTAAAACCGATTTTGACCTAAAAGGGACGCTTTTTGGACGCCATGGACGTTTCTCAGTTTCAAGGCAGAAAGAACGGAAAAAATGTAGGCAAGGCACAGGACAAAGCACTCGGGACAAAATGTATGTGAAATGGTTTGATACAGTAATGTTTTACTATGAGATTTTAGTGAATGTCACTTTTTGTCATTTTCAAATTTCCGTCCCCATTTGTCCCGACGTCGCAGGGGACAGAACCCAGAAGACAGATGCCAGCATCCACCGGAAGACATTACAGGGGACACTGTGGGAGGCACATCGCGGGAGCGCAGGACAAGGTAAGTGATTGAGGGATCCCAGAGCAGCGCTGCATGGTAAGCCCGAGTGTAGCTCGGGGTTACGCTTGTGGTACTGAAACTTTACCCCGAGCTACACTCGGGAATACCGCCAGGGAGGTTAATAAACGTTGTGTTGAAGATCCATGGTGTGCTGGTGATATATGCTTCGACTTATGATGTTTGCTTCAGCACCCGCTTACTTCCCACCATTTCCAGGAATGTGTCATGCTGTTTATTAAAAGTATTGCACTTACATATAGTTAGAGATCAACGCTCCTTTAAGACAAATATTGTATACAGCCACAATCACTTCCTGCAGCTTCCGACACCTGGCTCCTCCCACACATTACATCACGCCCTTTGTGACTTCATCAGGGAGGGGAATAAACAGCTTGGTTTTAACTAATACACTATGAGATGCTGTTCTGTGTTTACTTGAGCATAATGGAGTAGTAAGAAGGAGTGATTGGCCATAAGATCGGGGAGGAGAAGATTGTTGTTTCTAAGGAGGAGAAATAATTCACCCCATAGGGGGAAACGTGTATCCAGACCTAATAACGTATGTTCTTAGGTCACACTTCGGAGGTGAGAGCATTATTATTAAGGTGATGGGAGTCACAGTTGCATGAAGGTGACCATTATTGTTTCAATCACAGACTGCAGGAAGATGTATGAGTTGCACTAAGGAAGATTAGTTTGAATTGTGGACTTTCACAGACTGTTTATGCTTACTTTATGTTTTATTTCACTGAATACTTTGTTAAGCCAGTATACAACAATGCACCTCAGTGTAATAAAAATATTTCTGCATTTATGTTATGCGTTTATGAAACATGCATTTATATATATATATTTTTTTATTTAGTTTGTTTGGCAAGGGAGTGCCGCATATATCTTTCTATATTTGTAATCATGAAGTGTGTGAATACACAGTGATGTGAGCTGCACCCGATCACGATTTCCCAATCAGTGTTTTATCACAGTACAGTTTTCACCGTATTTTAGTGTTTAGTTCAAATTGGGTAGCGCAGAAGTCACACTACACTACAGATTTGATTCCTCAAACTCAATCTATCCTAACTGGGCTCATAATAATTCCTCCCCCATGTGCCTCTTCCTCTGACTTCTTTGTCAAGATCGATGACGCAATTGTCATCCCGTCCCTGCATACCAAGGTACCGAGTGTTATCCTGGACTCAGAACTATCCCTTCGGCCGACATCAAATCAATGTCCAAAGCTTGCCGCCTCAACCTCCACAACATCTCCAAAACATTCCCCTTCCTAACCAATGACACCACAAAGCTTCTAATTCACTCCCTGCTAATCTCTCCCCTCGACTACTGAAACTCCCTCCTCATTGGCTTACCTTTACTACCTCATCTGGCTGCTGTCAGACTCATCCACCTTACCAACTGTTCAGTGTCTGCTACTCGTCTCTGCCAATCCCTTCACTGGCTTCTGCTCACCCAACACATTTAATTGAAAATACTAACAATAACTTACAAAGCCATCTACAACTTGGCCCCCAGCTACATCACTAACTTTGTCTCAAAATACCAACCAAATCATTCTCTTCGTTCCATCCAAGACCTCCTGCTTATCTAGCTTCCTTTGTCTCCTCCTCCCATGCTCGCATCCAGTACTACTCCTGAGCCTCTCCAATCTTATGGAACTCCCTACCCTAATATGTCAAACTGTCTCCCACTGTGTCCACTTTTAGATGATCCCTGAAAACCCTTCTCATCATAGAAGATTATCCCGCCTCCTCATAACAACTGTACTTTTATTTTCTCCATCAGCTCATCCACCACATTTATTACCTTTTGTATCTTTTGACCCGTCCTCCTAGATTGTAAGCTCTAATGAGCAGGGTCCTCTGATTCCTACTGTATTAAATAGTTTTGTAAATGTACGGTTTACCCTCATGTTGTAAAGCGCTGAATAAACTGTTGGCACTATATGAATCCTGTATAATAAAAATAACAATAATAGTAGGCTCTGCATTGGACTTGATGACATTCGAGGACCTGCAAGAGAAGAGGCTGCAGGGACTGGTACCCAAGGGAATCTGCAGGAACGACAGCTCTGGTAACAAAAAACTGCTTTTTGCAGCCCATTAGACTGAAACAGGCATTTAACCCTTACAGTATTAAGGCATCCCCCTGGATGGGAGCATGGTTGTCCTCCCTGCAGGTGGGCTTTATTGATTTGTTTTCATAAATGTATAACTGGATAAACTATTGTTGTATTTTAATATCTTCCCAGAGTTGGATGTTTGTATTTGGCTTTCTTCATTAGTTGGGCAGCCTAACACACTTTCACTTTTTCAGCACTGTCCAGCAAAACCATCTATTTATGGACATTGATACATGATATAATTCTTATAATCAGTATATCTCAAACTGCAAAATTTTGATTTTGCGACAGCATAGTAGATGTTTGACGCACTTTCAGGTTATAGATGTTCCACTGAAACCCATTTGTGTCACTGGATGTGTGCTGGGGCACTGCCTTTTCAGATTACACAAGACTTCCCTGGAAGCTGATGCTGTCAAGGCTTTGTGGGGGAGCCATTCTGGCTGTCCAGCACAGAAAGCCTCTGATACTCCTGGCATGCTCTTTAATATGTCTGTGTGGGTCAACCCCCTGCGTATTGCAGTATCAAACCCAAAAACATTCTGCTTAGATCATAGCACACATCAACTACATTAGGTCTGTGATAGACTCATACACAAAAATGTGTAATATTTTTTTACATTAAATGAAAAATGTTCAAAAGGCTTTTGGAATCTAATTAATTAATAGAAATGAAAGCATTACTGTGCCATAGACTTGAATGTCAAATCTGATCCCATAAGCTTTTATAAGAGTCCTTAGGTCGCTTTGGTTCTGGTTCCTGTAGTACCTGGCAAATCTGTAGATACAAAATAATAATAAGTGAGCCCTCCTTCAGTATGTACTGCTTTAATGTCATAGCATATGATAACATGTATTCTAAATTCACAAGAACAGCTATTACAACAATGAGTATCAACGAAAGCAAGAAATAACTGATTGTGGCTGCAGCTGCAAAATACACGGGAACCATCCAGATAGTTTCATTCCAAACAAAACCATTTTTTTCTTATGGATAAAGTCCTCTGTCTACAAAAAGCATAGCTTCGACTGACCAACTGTCCACTACCTAACATGCCTGCCCCCCGATTTTTTGTCCTTAATTTACCTTAACACTTTTTTGTGAAGCTCCTTTTCTTACTTCCTTTTCCTTATGTTTTTCATATGGTACAGAGAATTTCATGCCCTATGCCGCCATTCTGAGATACCTCCCAGACATGTTTTATGGCAGCTATATTTACTGACTTTTCACCTAAGCCACAATAGTTTTTGCTACTTGTTGTATTACCCCTCTGGCTATTTATATTGTTCTACAAGTACGTTGTACTGTACTTGACCTGAATACTCCAGATATAATATGTCCTGTACTTTTGTCAAACCTTTGTGAAAACCCTAAAAAATCTTTCTAAACAAGAAAGCAACTTTAGCTATAATTCTGTCCCCCAAAGACTCACTTGGCTCACTAATCTACTGCCACTCATCTGGGCTAAATGGCAACCAGCTATTTTTTGGTCTTGCCCATTACTACAGCCATTTTGGAAGGAATTCAGACTGATCGCTCAGACATTTACAAATTTTAGTGTTCCTGATTGCCCGGCATTCTTCCTCCTGCACCACTCACCAATACCTCTCAAGACATATCCCCTTGAAATGGAAGTATCCTGACCCCCCCCCACTTCCATAGCCTTCTGGTTTCACAAAATAGAGGATATTAACCACATGGAGGAGCCCAAAATAAACACAAGACCTACAAAAACACCTGGTTCCACTGAAATTACTACATCTTGTCTGATGAAGGAAAGGCCTGGCTAGCTGATGCCCCCCAAGAGTTAAGTGCTTCCTGTACCACATTCTGCCTCTGCCCCCCTTCCCCCCCACACTCATCTCCCCAACCTCTACCCCCACCATTTTTAAAAAAATTCTTCTCCCCTTTCTTTTCTGGTCTCCCTCCTTTTTTCTCCACTACCAATACTATATACTTCTCCTCACAACAATTTAAAACGAACACTCCGGGCTTGTACAGTATTAGAATTTCGTTTGCACTGGCCACTACTACGTATAACGACTCGCTGTCAGCTGCCTTAGACTCCTTAGCACCCCTAACCACACGTAGCATTAGACCCCAACCGCTTCAACCCTGGCAGAACGACCACACTAAAAATCTTAAATGGCGCAGTCACGCGCTGGAGCGATTATGGCGCAAAACCAGATCCCCTTGAGCGTTCTCCCTCTACAAATCCGCCTTCCTCACCTACACCTCCACGCCGCCAAACAAGCCTACTTCGTAACCCTTATCAACACCCTCTCCACATGTCCTCGCCGGCTCTTCTCCACTTTCAACTCCCTACTCTCCTCCCCCCCCACCTCCACCCAGTACCTCACTCACCGCCCACGAGATTGCCAATCACTTCCAAAATAAGATCGACGCAATCCGTAAGGACATCACCAATGCTCAATCTACCTCCCCACCTAGCCTCCCTCCCATCATAACCCCATCAACTCCCCCCTCCTCTGACCTCGCAACTGCCCTGGCCCCCACCACACCTAACACCCCGCACACTATAACCTCCCCAACACTCCGCTCCTTCAGCCTTGCTACCACTGAGCAGGACACTAAGGTCTTCTCAGAAGCCCGCCTCACCACTTCCCCCTTGACCCTGTCTCCACACAACTCCTCCAGTCACCCTCCATCCTACGCTCCCTCACCCACATCTTCAATCTCTCATCCTCTACTGGCGCATTCCCCTCCCCCCTAAAGCACGCACACATCACCCCCATACTCAATAAACCCTCCCTGACCCCACCGACCTGAACAACCTTAGACCCATTTCCCTGCTGCCATTTACATCCAAGCTCCTTGAGCGCTTAGTCTACAATCGCCTAAGCTCCCAAGTCACTGACAACAACCTCCTCGATCCACTGCAGTCTGGCTTCCGTCCCCTACACTCCACCGAAACCGCCCTACTCAAAATCACTAATGACCTGCTAACCGCCAAAGCATATGGCTACTACTCAGTACTCCTACTCCTCGACATTTCCGCGGCCTTCGACACAGTTGACCACACCCCGCCTCCTTAATAAACTACACTCCCTTGGCATCAGAGACTCCGCTCTCTCCTGGCTCTCCTCCTATCTATCCCAACGCTCCTTCAGCATTACCTATAACGCTACCAACTCCCCCTCTCTGTTGGGGTCCCCCAAGGCTCTATCCTCGGCCCCTTCTCTTCTCCATCTACACCTCCTCCCTCGGCAAACTGATACACTCCCACGTCTTCAACTATCACCTCTACGCCGATGACACGCAAATTTACCTCTTCACCCCTCACCTCCCCCTTCAGTCTCCGCCCGTATCACCCACCTACTGAACGACATATCAGACTGGATGTCGCTCCATTTCCTCAAATTGAACCTTTCCAAAACCGAGCTCCTAATTTTCCCCACCAGCCCGCGCCCCCCCCATCCTCTCCATCACGTCCAACAACGCCACCATCAGTCCCACACCGCAAGCCAAAATTCTAGGTGTCACCCTAGACTCAAACCTGTCCTTCCAACCCCATGTCCAATCATTGGCAAACTCATGCAGGCTCCACCTCCGCAACATCTCCAAAATACGTACGTTCCTAACCCCAGACACTACTAAACAACTTGTTCACTCCCTTATTATCTCACGCCTGGACTACTGCAACTCCCTTCTCACCGGCCTACCCCAACACAGGCTATCCCCACTTCAGTCTATCCTGAACTCTGCGGCCAGACTCCTCCACCTTACCAACCGCTCCGCTTCTGCCACCCCCCTCTGTCATTCCCTCCACTGGCTTCCGATTGCCCAACACATTAAATTCAAAATACTAACGCTGACATACAAAGCCATTCATAACGCTGCCCCAAACTACCTAACCAACCTGATACCCAAATACTGCCCAACCCGTACTCTTTGCTCCTCACAAGACCTCCTACTTTCTAGCTCCCTGGTCTCCTCCTCCCACACCCAACTGCAGGACTTCTCCAGGACTTCCCCCATCCTCTGGAACTCACTACCCCAATCCATCAGACTGTCACCTACCCTCCTCACCTTTAGGCGCACCCTGAAAACCCATCTCTTCAGGGAAGCCTACCCCACCATCAATTAACAGCCGATCTCCTCCTACCACTCCATCCCCCACAGCCACTTCCTCCTGTACCACTATCCCCTGCCTCCTAGATTGTAAGCTCGAAAGAGCAGGGCCCTCGAACCCCTTGTGTACTGTTTTGTTACAGTATTGTCTCATGTTCTGTCCCCCACTATAATGTACAGTGCTGAGCAAACCTTTTGGCGCTATATAAATACTGTATAATAATAATAATAAAAATAAGGAATTTAAAAAATGGCATCCAGCACTGTTCAACCTACTTCCTGAAAGACAAGGGTGTGAAGGCCTGACACCCCCCTCCCAGACTCACATGAGAAAAGCATAGTAAAGGCAGTGGTCATCAACACAAACAGAGTGGTGAATTATTCCAGTGGGGACACAAGCAGCAATAAAAACTTGGGAGACAGCCTAACCCTTCCCCACGCCATCTAAACCCCCCCCCCCCCCCCAAAAAAAAAAAAAAAGATTTTGCCTAGAGATAAACTTTAAATTATAGTTTCAGTCACCTTTTTTTCATTGACTTGCTAGTACTGTTAGTTTATTTATATTCATATTGTTATGACTCAAGATAAAAAAATATGTATTTATACTTTATATTTCAATGTTTTGTTTCCATACCTAAAATTCAAACCAGGATACAAACGTTCATCAACAACCTTATCATCCAAGCGTCGGAAACTGTATTGTGGACGACAGCTGTGAAACCAACGATCAAGATTACAGTTCCAGTTGATTTCTATGCCCATAATGCCACCCTAGATAAAAGAAAATTAGAGATATAAAAAAACTCTGAAAACATTTCACAATGCAGCAACACAATATTATACATTATTTTAACCCTCTCCTGCCAGTTGTAAGCATATATCTGTCAGCATGGAGGTAGGCCTTATTCCGTGCTGTCACATATGTGTGTCTCTTGGGTGCACCTAGCACCCTGGTCACGCTGTCACCTACAGCTCTCAGTCACATAGTAATGATGAGGAGCCAGTAACACAAGCTGGAAAGGTCTGGCAAACTGCAAAATATTACATTTTGTTTCTGGGGTTTGATATGCTTTAAAGAGGGTCTTCAGGCAAACAGCTAAATGTAATTAAAATACACTTATGTTTGCAGTTTGGTTGCAGCCAAAGGGACTGCAATTCTGTATAGTGAACATATTTGTTGTCATACCTTCGCCACACTGAATAGTTAGAAATGCTTTAGTCATTGGTCAGTATGTCTTTTTCATTTTTTTTTTTTTTTTTTTTAACTTACCATAGTATCCATCCTTGCCTCCACAATGTTTGTAACACTTTTGCTAAAATGGTAAAGCCCAGCTCTACAACCTAGTGTGGATAGGTGTTCAAAGTACTGTAAAGTTTTTATTGCTTTCCGTGTTTTCATTTCTGAGCCAGTGACCCCAGAACAAGAATTGAGAGATTGCGGGTAACACCAAGAGAGAAGACACAGAAGGCAATAAAATCCTGGCAGTGGTTCTAATCTTTTCCTTCTAGTAACAAAAATTAACATAAGAGAGATGTCTCATGACTTCATGTACTACAAGACACCTACTGAAGACACAGACAGCAAAACATGACAGAGGTTCTAACCCTTCCATCCTTTATAGAAAGTATAGGAAAAGCTTAGCAACTTAGTTTGTATTAGAACTAATTTGAAAAAAAAAAAAACCAAAGAGTTCACTTTGCTCAAAATGAAACTAAAATTATTTCCGAGATACATGTTTTGGAAACTACTTTGAACTGTAAAGTATGCTACGGTTTGTATTTCTGTGAATATGCTGGCTATGGGTGTGTTTAAACAATGTGGGTTGGTAAACAGTGTACCAGGAACTTGAGAGTTGCACTTCCTTTATAAATACACAGTGGCATTAACTTCAGTCAGAATGTCACTCGAAAAAAAGAGCTGTCTGAAAATTGTTTTAACAATGGGCTATAGAAGACTTCCCATATTCTGGGAAATCGCACCACAGCTCAATCTTGCTCTCTAGACTAGTATTTCTCAACCTTTTTTCAGTCAAGGCACCCTTTAAAATTATGGATTGTCCCTAGGCACCCCATTCTAAAATGAAGTGCTCAAGGCTGTCTATAATTCTAAAAAGGGCACCCCATTCTAAAATGTGAAAATCTATTCTAATAGTTTTATAGAACACAGCAACATCCACACGTGTAGGACACCCAACATTAGAGGTGATTTATTCTTCCAATGCAAATACACTATTGCACACTGATACTGAGTAGTATTCTAATGTTTCTCCCTCGATTTTTCTCTATCATTGAGCTAATGTGACCCCAGCACTGATGGAGAGGGGCAGGGTAGGGTCAAACTAGGATGCTGTGCAGGAAGCTGACATCCTCCTTATCAACTGATGATGTCATTGGTTGTTAGGACGCTGGCGACTAGAAGGTCACAATGGTACACGATGAATACCTGTGGCATTGTGTTACCAAAAGAAAGGCTTGTTCCACCCGCTGGCTTGTGTACAAGTTTTGGGCAATTTTTAGACATTTTGCCAAGGCACCCCTTAAGAGACCTCAAGGCACCCCAGGGTGCCTGGGCACCCTGGTTGAGAAAGGCTGTTCTAGACAGTAAAGAGCACAAAAGCAGATTGGGTACAATTTAACCTATGATGTTCAGATGTAGGCTTACAGGATATATACACACAAGAACCAAAATATTATATATCGCAGCTTACCAGTCCTTAGATGTGGTGGCTACATTAATTTTTATTTTTCAGGCTAAGGAAATTTTTCATCAAATGGAGAAAATATCTGCTGTCAAAAATGCAGCAACCTTGTCGCTTCCTAAGAGATGAACTGATATATCAAACAATGTTATCTTGCTCCCAAGCAATTTTTTGTCAATTTAATCCTCCCCTTTTAATGGAGATGAAGGGAATAGAGCATGTTTGTGGTCCAAATCAGTTGAATAACCTGGATGACAACCATGGCTGCCTACTTGGATACAGTGGAGAAGTGAGTAGCCACCATAGGACAAGAATTGTATTACTGGCAGAATTAGCAGCTGAAAATAAAGGAAAAAGCACTGGAAAAATAAAAAATGCTAGTCTCTTCATCTAAGAACTGTTAGGCTGCAGTACAGTACATTATTGTTTGTGGTTTAGGTACACTTTAATCTTCTAAGATAATTTTTCACAGTGTGAAGTGAGAATGCATTAAAACTAAAGTGTAGTACTCTTAATCTTACTTAATGTAGCAATGGCTGTCCAGCTGATTACTGTAGGCTCAGAATGGTGGTATAGGACATGAAAGTCTCTGTACCATATGAAACATGTCATTAATTTACATACGTATTCTGCAACCAACAATGGTGAGCCATAGCATGCTCACCCCCTTTTTCTGCAGTAATAACAATGAACTTACTTGCCCCTATTACTGTAACGGTCCATAGTAGCACTATTAGCTCGCTATGCTGCATAATTCTAGACTAAATCAACAGTTATAAATCTGCAGAGTGGTACATTGTCAGCAGTAAATCCTCAGTGAAAGTGGTACCTGACAGTACAGATTACCTGCCTTCCAAACAGTACAATGCAGATTGGCAGATTTCTTACCTTTTATTAATTTTGGAAATAAGGCCATTACTATTTTACAGTTCAGGAAAGCTTTACTTTACCTCTCATTTTTTTTTTCCAACAAATATTAACTTCCTATAACTAGTAAGTCTATCAATTTCACCTCTGTCCTCAGAGGCCCCAAAACCTCTTTTGCACCTCTTAATATAAACAGCCCTATATGGCAAATTTTTTCTATTCAATTAATATATCAACAGTAAAAAAATACAAATGCCAATATGAGCAACAATATATTATTATATACCAGAATAGCAACTTGGGAAAAATTCTCTCCTGCTTCTTTTAGGATGTCCCCTAATCGGAATATGGGACAGCGAGGAGCAGTCACTTTGTGATAAACGCAGGTGACATTGTATTCGGGAAGGATGTTTTTCCTATAAAAGAAGTACAATGAAAAATCAAATTATGACATTTTATACATTAAAAAAAACAGTGACAGCCATACAGAATGACTGGCAAAATGTGAAATTATTAGAAAACATAGGAACTTGGGTGCAGAAAAATGACAGCAGGTGCTCTTGGCTGATGAGTCAAAATTTGAAATATTTGGGTGTAATAAAAGGCAGTTTGTCTGTGATGGGTTGGAGAGCGGTACAAGAATAATTGTCTGCAGGCAACAATGTAGCGTGGTGGAGGTTGGAGATCAGGTAATTGTCCTCAATGCTGAGAAATACAGGCAGATTCTTATCCATCATGCCATACCATCAAGGAGGCATGTTATTGGCCCCAAAATTATTCTGCAGCAGGACAATGACCCCAAACATACAGACAATGTCATTAAGAACTATCTTCAGTGTAAAAAAGAACAAGGAGTCCTGGCAGTGACCCCCACAGAGCCCTGATCTCAACATCATTGCTTCTGTCTGGGATTACATGAAGAGACAGAAGGATGTGAGGCAGCCTACATTCACAGATGATCTGGGGTTTGTTCTCCATGATGTTTGAACAACCTCATGATGTTTGGAACAATCTACCTGCTGAGTTCCTTCAAAAACTGCTAGTGTACCTAGAACAACTGATGCTGTTTTGAAGGCAAATGGTGGTCTCACACATTGAGCTGCATTTCTTTTCTGTTCATTTACTTTCCATTATGTTAACTGATAAAAATAAACTATAAACACTTCTATTTCTGAAAGCATTCTTAAAGTATAGCATTTTTTTCACACTTGCCTAAGACTTTTGCACAGTACTGTACAACAATCACCATCGCGATGTACTCTGCCCTGAACTCTGACCAAACTCCTTTTTTCCTCATATCCTTGAGGTACTTTTTTTCTCACACACAAGGCCTGTTATTGTGTGGTGACTCTAATCTTAGTCTGTAACCTTCTTTAGACAAAACAGCCAAAAGCCTTCACCAAACCCCTGTGTGCAAAGACACTGAATTTACCCTCCTAAAGTCCAAACCATCATTAAAGCATTGAAGCCTAACAAATAGCCGGTTAGCCAGGCTCCAATAGTTTCTTTTCTATGTGTTATAATAAGATTTATGGAAATTGTTACAATAGCATTCAACAATATACTTCATTGTGACTTTTTCACCCCTGACAAACTGACTACAGTGGTAGGCATAATACTTAAACCAGCAAAAAACCATGCCAATTGGGTCCAAGACCCACATCTTTTCCATATCTTGTGGAAATGGGGCTTTCATGAACATTATATCACTAGGGCCCAAGTGCTTTAGCACACATCGCAAGCATGTATCAGATACACGGGCTTCTATTCCAATATGTTCCTATCTTTACTGGTACTCATTTGGGCTCTCCTCTTTCACCCTTCTTATTCATCTAAGCCATTGAACCACTTAGTCCTTTAATATATCAAACCCAAACATTCAAGGTACAAATGATGTTGGTTATCATAACAAGCATTGTCTATTTGCTAATGATCTAATTATGTCCTTCACCAACTATATCACCTCCCCCCCAGCTTCCACAAACTATTTCATGACTTTACTACCCTGTCTGAGCATAAACAGGCTTATTGTTCCCGCCCTCCGGGTCCATCCTCTCTATTTAAAGAACCCTTTGGTCTCCCCCTCCAAGATTTGAGAAAGAGGCAATGCCTTGAAACATGTCATCTTGGAAACCCTACGCTTACTGGCATTGAGGACTCCAGTAAACTGACCACCTGAGGACTTCCTGTCTATCGATGATGCACTTCCTGTTCATCAGTACACTTCTGGTCTGACGCTGTACCTCTGGTGTCTCAGCTGGCTTGTTTGAGGCCACTTCCCTCCATCACATCCATTCTCACTTTAGATTTTGGACCTTGCAATACCCACTGATCAGGTTATTCACAGGAGTGTCTTCCATTTGCAGTCCCACCATGATAGAGATGCTGTCTATTCACTGCACACCATGGAAACCACAGTAAACACATTAATATTTGCATTAACATTTGCATTGTGGAGTACTTATTTGTGGACTGTGCATTTTTTATTTTAATTAATTTATACTGATTCAATAAAGTACATTTTTGGACATTTCTTGCAATTAGACATTCTATCACATTAATATATTACCATAACTACAGTGTACTCATGGTTCAGGCAAGCAGATGAGCACTTTGCAATGGGGCATTGGATAATGTGGCAGTGACTCAAGTTCAATATTGACTACCGCAGACAAGGAGTTCAACTCACAATGCCACCAACACTCATTATATCCCCACTTTCCTTGCGCTGGGTTTTAAGTGTTGTTATTTGGTTTTTCCTATCCTCACGTGAGAATTCCTGGCATGAGGACCAGTGGGACCAAGTTGAACAATGGCTTCACAGGTTTAGCACCTGGGTTCATTTGCTGTGTTTTACATAAACAGGCAGAGATTCTTACAAATTTCATTGGGTGTCGGATCACCCTTACCTGGAGATCAACCTAACCAGTTCTTTTGATACTATGTATAGTACTGATTAGCCCCTCCCTACCTCATACCAACCCTAATAGTTTGAGCACTTCCCGGGTACTCTGCACACTGCTTTAGATGATTTCCAAAAACAGTAACTTTAATTATTGTACATCTGGTGGACTTGACCTGTAAGCAAGTAATTGTCACGCCACCTTATTAGGTCGCACCCATGAGATGAGCCCCTGGGAAGCCCAAGAGCAAAACTAGATCACTGCCTCCGAAACAAATTATAAACTCAAGATGGTATGGTAACTCGTACAAACCTAAATAGATCAAACACTCCTGGGGTACTTTCCACACTGTTTCAGAGGCTGTCCCAAAAATGGTACCTATACTCACAGAGGGTGAAATTGTCTTGTAAGCAGACAAATCTGGTATTCAATATATCACATGCTCTCCACCTTATTAGGCCATATGCTCGAGATGAGCCCATGGAAAGCCCTCTTAAAAAACAGCCACAAACCTGCATGGAATGCAAAACACGCCTGCTCATCCATGTCTTCATGGCTGTGAATAAAACAATCACTAAAGCCTAGAAAACACCTAACTTTACTATAGGGGATTTAAATTGCATATGCCCCACTGCATGCTCTATAGAAAAACTGACCACTATTCAATGCGACAAGCTGCCTAAGGTTCAACCATGCATGTTACAATCTGACCATACAATCTTTGTACTAATAACTTTAGATTTACTAAAACTATGTATTATGAGCACCTACCTAATCAATCCAAATAATGTTTATCCAATCAGACAGGTCCTTGCACTATATGTTGTTGGCAGATCTGAAGAATATTGTACAATCAGATTGTAACATGTTTGGTGAGCATAATTTCCAAAATACATGGGTCCACTGGATTACCCACTACTCTCTGCTAAATGTCTGATCATTAACTAAGTTGTCTGTAACCCAGTGCAGATTTTCCATTCTGCACAAAGGGTATATAGGTTGGAACTACTTTAGCTTTATGCGATTTTTTTTTTTTTTGTCTTGCAAATAATCTGGAAGCTGAAAAGGGTGCCAGGTGACCAGATCATACATAATGAGTCATGTGTATGGCCAAACCTGTTACAGATCAAGTCAGGATTTACTTACGTGGTATAATTAAAAGCTGCGAAGTGAATATTGTTCTTTATCAAAACTGTGAAGTTTTCAGCACTTCCCAAAATGGCCGGCCTAGAAATGGAGATTTAACACAAAATACTGGATAAGCAGAAAGACAAAAATTGTAACAAGAAATTTCTGCTCGGATACTAAAACAAAAATAATCTGCTTTGGTTTAGAAAATGGAAAACATTAAAAGTAATTTATAAAAGGCAGACAATCCTTTCTTTTCGTGATATTGTCTTGCAAAAATTATTTCTTTTTTATGCAATCTATAGAGAAAAAAGCAATGAAACTAAAAGATGTGCTTTATTTCTACTTTGAGCACTGTTCGTTTTAAATGAACTAAAATAACTGTAGGCAAAAAGTATACAAATGAAATAATGGCCCTTTTTCAATTTTGCACATATTTTAACACAAAACAAAAAACATCAACAAATAAAATTAGTAAAAACTGAAAAAAAGGTTGAAATATGATTATTGATTAAAAACAGAGATAATATGCAAAAAACAGCAAAAACGTTATAGGTAGGGGCAGAAGGGGAAGAAGGAGGTTATTAGGGCTAATTATAGTTTACTAAAGGTTAATAAGGGGTAAAGTAGGAACACATTTTATGCAAAATATTTTTTACTGGTATGGTTGCTTTAACTATCATCATATACAGATTAGGGATGAGTGAACCAAGCAAAGTTTGGTTTGCAGAACGCTCAGGGAACCCAGCGAAGTCGATTCATAGCAGACCCATATTCAGGCATGAAGCCTCGGTGGCTAGAAAAGGGAGGGCTGAAAACATGGGGCTCCATTCTAAGCTACATGCCTTTAACAATGGGAGAGTACCTTGCAAAAGGGATAGGGGAGGGATAAAGCACCTCTCCTCTCCTTGCAATGCATATTGTCCCCATTTCAGAGGACAAGGGCCTCATGCCCACATCCTTTCTCCCAAAAGAGAAGTGGGGGTTTGCAGGTGCTGATTTATCAGAAGCACGAAGCCCCGTTTATATATAAGGTGACCTTGAGAAATCTGGCACCCCCCTGTAAATGAGTACTTGTTACTTCAGTACCCCTTATTACTCATCAAGAAGAAAGCGTTATAAGTCAATAAACACCCACACCAACACCAAGTCCTTTAATACCCCACCACACCCCAAAGGAAAGCAACAATATCCCATGATGTAAATCCAACGCCAATCATGAATATTTGAAAAGTCTTGCGAGCCAGAAGGCAGACAAAAATTCCTTATTTTATACTCTCTAATGTTGGATCGCAAACCTCTAGCACATAACTACCAATGTGATAAAATGCAAAATAAAAATATATTGAGTGTTGCGCTCTCAAACCTTCAATCAATACATGATTATTTAAATCATTTAATTATAAAAATTACAATAATTAAGAATAATGTGTATGAATAAACATAAATTGTAATAATCTTATACTCTGAATCTTCTGAATCAACTCAGATAAACCATGTGCTTGGAACAGTGATGAACAAACAAATATAAAATAAAATAAAAATAATAAAAAATGTCCCAAAAAGTGACTTTGTGCTGAAAAATCTTCAATAATTATAAATCGGTGACTGCTTGTGAATCCTCCCTCAAGTGAAGATATGCGCTCACCTCATAGGAAGCCTGCAATTAGGCTATATAAGCTTGCGGTTCACCTCCTTTGGAACCTGCTTGTTTGGAACTCCTGTTATAAGATATCCATGGTATACGGCATATGCTATGGAATGAATCTCATCTCCAGAGGGTGCTATTCCTCTATGTTTTCATCTCCATGCGGTTCTCCACATACAAAAAAGATCTCGACATGGTGCTTTATCGTTTTAAAAGATTGACTTTTATTTACTTTAGGGTATGGCACTCACATGGTGCGGATTTGGTAGTACAAATACGATCCAGACTGCCGCTGACTGCCGGAGCTGTGTACTCGTGGTCCGGCGAACGGACTGACTCCCTCCGAGTGACGTTAACAGTCCCACCCCTAACGCATTACGCCACTGGTCACGTGGCTTCATCAGGGGGAATTGATCAAATCCCCCTGATGAAGCCACGTGACCAGTGGCGTAACGCGTAGGGGGGTGGGACTGTTAACGTCACTCAGTCAGTCCGTTCGCCGGACCACGAGTACACAGCTCCGGCAGTCAGCGGCAGTCTGGGATCGTATTTGTACTACCACTATCCGCACACACATGTGAGTGCCATACCCTAAAGTAAATAAAAGTCAATCTTTTAAAACGATAAAGCACCATGTCGAGATCTTTTTTGTATGTGGAGAACCGCATGGAGATGAAAACATAGAGGAATAGCACCCTCTGGAGATGAGATTCATTCCATAGCATATGCCGTATACCATGGATATCTTATAACAGGAGTTCCAAACAAGCAGGTTCCAAAGGAGGTGAACCGCAAGCTTATATAGCCTAATTGCAGGCTTCCTATGAGGTGAGCGCATATCTTCACTTGAGGGAGGATTCACAAGCAGTCACCGATTTATAATTATTGAAGATTTTTCAGCACAAAGTCACTTTTTGGGACATTTTTTATTATTTTTATTTTATTTTATATTTGTTTGTTCATCACTGTTCCATGCACATGGTTTATCTGAGTTGATTCAGAAGATTCAGAGTATAAGATTATTACAATTTATGTTTATTCATACACATTATTCTTAATTATTGTAATTTTTATAATTAAATGATTTAAATAATCATGTATTGATTGAAGGTTTGAGAGCGCAACACTCAATATATTTTTACAACGCCAATCATGTTGTTTAATGAAGATCAATCATCAATCACCATGACCTACTGCCATAACTACTCACCATCTGACAATGCTGCTCTGCCCCTATCACAACCTGTTGCATGACAATGCTTCCCTACCACCACTTCTGTTGCAAATGACAGATCCTTGACTGGTTGCGGTTTGTAAACAAACCAGCTGGGGATCACGGGTGACTTCATTGAGCAAACCTGCTCATGACCATATTTGGTCAGTAACGTCATCCATGATCCCTGGCTGGTTTGATTACAAACAGCAGCCAACCAGGGATCTGTCTTTTGTGAAAGGAGAAGCAGCAGTGAACTGTTTTGTGGAGGGGCAATATCATTGGTCGGTGGGTCGTGGTGGTGGCGGGTCATCATAACTGTGACTGATGAGGATTTTACATTGTAGACCAATATTATGTTCAACCCCCATTGAAATTGAGTTGTTTTGGCCATTTGGTTTCTTTTTTTGACATTGCTTTTGATCATTCAGTCATGTCTTGCTTATTTTTTTTTACATTAAAGAGGCACTTGTAGGTCAGACATAAATTATAAGGGGGTTTAACAGTTATAATGAAATAACCACAAATGTCTTTTTGTGCTCACAGCATTATCAGTTTATTTTTTTATTCAACCCCCAAGGACATTCAATCTTAGTACTGTTTTAGTACAGCAAATCCTTTTACAGTTATAACAGCTTTTGCCAAACGTGCAAAAGCATAGCTGGACACAAGTGATTCATCCCATGCGATCTACGGGTACTTCTTTCGCCCATTAATTCATGGTGGGCAAAGGCCTCCAGTTCAGTCACATTCTTAGGCTTGCGCACTGCAACTGCTTTCTTTAAGTCCCACCAGCAGCACTGTGTTATAGGGTGGGTTCTGCTGGCTGTCGTTGATTTAAGTTGGTGACTGCGAGGCAGTTTTAAACTCCAAAAATGTTCCAGCCTCATTACATTCCATTCTGCAATATCCATGCAATTCTAGTGGACCGTGGAGGTATGCTTGGGATCATTGTCCTGTTGAAAGGTCCAACGTAAAATCCCAAGCCAGAGGTATTTTTGTGACGGACATGCATCACGTTTCCATCCAATATATTGGTTTGACAGTTTCAGAATTTCATGGTTCTTGGCACACGCTGAAGCTTCATTTTTGTACCATTGCAGAAGCAAAACAGCCCCAAAGCATGTTAATGGGCTAAATACCCAAGTTTTCCACCATGCACTCAGCTGCAAGGTCAGTTCTTTTCATTCATAGGCCTTGTTCTTTTCCTCCTCCAAACATAGCGTTGACCAGGCCCAAACAGTTTAGAAATAATTTTTTGTCATGTTCCACATTGCCACACCCATATCCTGATAACACAATCCCATAATTTTTGGTATGGGACTTTTGTGGTTTGTCCCACAGTGGCTTTTGCATACTGCAGTAAACAGTCGACTCTTCTTATTCTTTGGAGACAGCAAGGGGTACGCCTGGGAGTTTTGGCACGGAGGCCTTCATTACGCAGTGTGCGTCTTATTGTCTGGGCTGAAACTTCTTTTACTTGCCCACATCTGACAAATCTTTTCTCAGTTCCTCAGCAGTCAAGTCACGGGGACTTCTCTCCACTCTACGCTTCAGGTAGCGCACAGCAGTCGAAAGTCAGCATCTTCTTTCTGCCACGACCAGGTAGCGTTTCACTACAGTGCCCTTTGCCTTGAATTTGCGAATGATGCTTCCTAAGGTGTCTCTTGGTATGTTTAACATCTTTGCAATCTTCTTATAGCCATTGCCCTTCCTGTGAAGAGAAATCACCTCTTCTCTTGTCTTCCTGGACCATTCTCTTGCCTTCACCATGTTTGTAACCACACCAGTAAATGTCTAGAAGGAGCTGAGTATCACAGTCATTTTAAAGCTGCCTAATTGGTGCTTATTATGCTTGATTGCTGCTCGGTGACATCCACAGGTGTTTTCAATACCTGATGGAAAGCACCTGTATGAACCTCTGTTCTTCAGAGTGGTAGTCTTTAAGGGTTTTTTGAATAATTGTGGCAATGAAGAAAACCACATAAGAACCATTTACTACTGTATTACATAAACAATTGATGTCATTTTAGTTGCATTTGGGTGTTTACAACGTCCTTGTAGGATTTGATTCTGAATACAATTCCAAATGTACACTATAGTCCCTAAACCCCTTTACAGCATTGGGGGTTGAATAATTTTGGTCACAACTGTATATTGCTAGGAACGACAATATTGATGTTTTGGATTTACATTGAGTGATATAGTTCACTTTTTTTTTATTTGGGGAATTTTTTA